GATTCCTACATAATATAATGGAAGGAAGTTTTTCCGGAAAAAATTATATACGTAGCGAGGTAACTACTAATGTTTTAAAAAGAATTTATGCTTACACTAGCTGTTGCCCGTGACTTCGTCCACGCGATATTAAGATAAAAAAAGTAACCTATAATATGCCCTTCTATGTCGGCTACGCTTCAGTGAAAGTTCGTAGATTGCCCAAAACAATGTCGGCTTGCGGACAGACAGACAAAAAAAAATTAAATGCGATTTTCGCTATGCAACGCAAATACATCATCTTACCGGAATCTGGAATTTTTCTTTTGATATTACAAACAGATTCTTCTTCTTATTAAGGTTCATCACTGACTAGAGAAGGTTGGCGGTCAGTTCTTCAAATTTTACTCTATCTCTTGCGAGGCGAAATAGATGGGCGGCACTCGCAATTCTTGTCCATTCTCGGATGTTACGCAGCCACGATTTCACAAACAGATACTCCAATTTTATTACATGCATAGATTAGTTTGAACATACTTTGATATATCGTAACGGTTCTGGAGGTAAGTAGATTTTATTTATCAAATTAATTTAACCGTAGTAGAGCCCGCAATAACATGCGAATGCCTAAGGACAGCAGTCGTTTCGCTATTTAGCGAATTATTCCCTTGCATGCTTACATAATTAGAGAGACATACTTGTATATCTACAAAATTACTGTAACTACAAGTTAATTTTGATATTAAAATATTTCGAACAGACCTATTTTAAGAACCGCTAAACCAATATCCGAGTGACCGTTAAAATCTTTTATCCGGTATCACGCTCAACCAACTCTAAATCATTATCACCTTTTCTGTTTCCATCAAAGGCTCTATTTCGATCGGCCGCGTCCCTAATTAGCGGATCCACGGCCGCGGCGCACTCGACCGGAAGTTATTGTTTATCGGCGATAGATACAACACACTCGAGCAAGATTACTGGATCGGAAAATTAAGGGAAAATCGTGTATAAGGGCCGAAATACTTAGAACTTGTACTGTTATGTGATGTATCATTTTTTGCAACAATCAATTGATTTTTGTCCAATTTCTTTCAATCAAAATTCAACCATTTTTTTATTTATATTCAGCTTTATGCATTTTATTCTACCCTAACTGTTGCTGTGCGGCTTTATCCGCATGGAATTATAAAAACTTTATTTTATTGTTTATATTGGCAAATGACAAAATTATTGATGTTGGCAGCTTGTACTTTATGGTCCCTTTCCCATATGTAGGATTTTTTTTAAATTTATTTGCCCCCTAAGTTTAATACCGTGAAAATATATAGCCTAAAGCGTGTCATAAGTGCAGGGCTTTTTATTAAAGAAAGAATTATTCAGGAATATGCTGTGATTGCTGACATCTCACGCCACGAAGAAGTTGTAAGTTTACGCTTTATTATATTAGTATATATAATCTATATGATTAATCTTTAGTTTTTTACATTACGGATTTATTTAAACATTTCATCCGTTCCAAATCTATGCCAAATATTAGCGATATCCATTTATCAGTGCTGATAAGTAGCAAATATCTGTACATTAAAACTTTCGTATTTATAAATTAGTACTCGTAAGATATAATTAATAAATCACGTCAAGCTAAATAGATACGAGTACTTACTAAAAACATACATCAAATAAATATCAAACATAAAAAAAAACTTTTCCAATTTTGTTGGCGAAATGAGATAAACATGTACATAAATTATTAAAGCCAAAAATGATACCATTTGGAAGATATTGCTTATTGGAAACTATTGCAATCCAGATGGGCAGTCATCCAAACGATATTTCAAAAGTCCGTCGGCGGACGCTATTTGGGAACCGCTTATGAGGTACACCACTAAAAATATATTAGACCTCTATCATAAATAACGGTTTTATAGCGTATCCGTAATATTATGGTAATACAACGCTATTATTAGTTTAAATTGAATGTTATTGGAATAATTAATTCAGTATTTGGCTAAGCAACTACAGAATGTTAAACTGTCTATACTAATATCACAAAGCGTAAACACACATTACTTCGTGGCGTAGGATGTCAGCAACCACAACATATTTTTGAATAATTCTTTGTTTAATAAAAAGCCCTAAACTTTTGACACGCTTTAGGCTATATATTTTCACGCTTTAGGCTATCAAACTTAAGGGGTAAATAAATAGGAAAAAGCCATCACGTGGGAAAGACACCATAAACTACATGTTGCCAATTAATATTTAAGAAAATAGTTAGTCTTTCTCTAATTTTAAATTCAAGTTATATGAAATGTTTCTTCTTTATTTTTGTTTAACTTTATCTAAAGTCTACCTTTTGTAATTCCATCTTCGTTTAAATAGGTCCAACTCCAAATAAATACAAATTGCGAGCAATAAATTTCTCAAAGAAATATTTTGTGTAAATTTAATTCAGTCTTGAATAGTGCACTAAACGAAGTCCAAAAGATAAGTCTAAGACGGTGGAAATTTCAGTTTTACAATTTAAATATTAATATCAAAGACAAATAGATAAAAGTTTTTAAGATTGTCTGATAGTTAACATGAATATTAGCAGGTTTGTTAAGTCTATTTTTTTGATAATGTCGTATTCTTCCAGAATAAATGTAAATGTTTTATCAAAACACGCTTAATTTATTTTTGATTTAAATAAACTTAGGTACCAAAATTTGATCTAAATATGTCGGTAATTTGGACAATATCGATCGGTCAGATAGCTGATGCTACTGGGTTCTGAACATCTTTAATTATTCAAGCGCCTACGAGTATTTCCGCAGCAATGTTCGTTTGTTACATCTCCCATAACACCGAACATTCAGTTTATATCATTTACTTTTACGGTAAAAGTATTTTTTACGAATAATATCAAAGTAATGTACAAAATCCTCATCATGAATTTTTTATCTATGTAATAATGTAAAAAAAATCTTTACTCTGATGTTAATGCTTGTAAATTTGTAGGGAAATATATATATATATAATCGCATTTCAATCAAATTGTTACATTACAAGTACAATAAGGTTGCAAAAGCATTGTTAAATATTTAGTATTATTCCTAATCCTTAATAGTCTGGTATAAATGTACATCCTAATAATGGTCTGCACTACATATAAGCCCCTTGTAATAAGTGGTATAATAGTTAATATGCCATCCCATTACCATCTGCATAATAGTAATGCTGTGCTCTAACTAATACGTGTGCTTACGTCGTATTACAGCTGTAAACAACCTTTGGTTCGTGACGTGTTTACTGATCATTAATAATGTTAGTAGTGCAAATAACATTTAATTATATACGAATTTAGTTGGAATTACTCGAAACATTTACTGAATATACAACGTTTGTTTGACTAATTTTGACATGACTTTAATAATAATAAATCAAACCACTTGCACGTTTATATGAGCAAAGTTGACCATATTTTTGTCATTGCTATTATTTTATGGCAGGAGCTTTCAAAACAATTAGAAAAATTTCATGGTGTGTAATTCATACAAATGGACTTAAAAGATTTAGTTTAAATCATTTAAAGTTACAATGTACGCTAAATTTGTTAAAGATTGCAATCAAATACCAATAAGAACATCAATTTTAATTGGGAATCCACAATCAGTCAAAGCTACATATCTTATCGTTTAAGTATGCTTAATGAATTTTTAATTAGATCTAGACTTATTTCTATTAGCGCTGAATCATGTTAAGGCTAAAAAAATGTATGCATCAATCAAATTTAATTCTATGACGTCACAGTATCGTAATAAGATAGATAGAAAGGATGTCTTCCAGTCACATTAAAGAAATGTAATGTTTTTTATTAGTTTCAACTTAAATATTTGATTTAAATTTGTGACATAGATAAGCAAAAATTTTAATGGCCATTTATAAATGTCATAAAGCAAGGAAATGGCACCGTTAACTGTTATCTTTCGGAGTTATGAGAGGTATTCTGCGTTGATTGTCCAATTGCCCAACTTTGTCGATTATGACACGAACCGAGATGATACTTGAAATAAATGCTTTGATTCTTAACGGTCACTGTAGTAAAAGTTTTTACATAAAACAGAGAGTTAATATATTAACAATTAACACAGTTGTATCAGTTTATAATATACTAGCTGTTGCTCGCGACATCGCGCGCGTGAAATAACAAATATAACCTAACGTTGTCCCTTTTTTCAACCTATTACCAAAATTATTAACTTAGTAGTAATCTACGTAATAACAGAAATCTACCGATGTAAGATTCCAAATTTCTAAGCCCGGTAGCTTGTAACCTGATTTTTCGGTTACCCTTATTGTTTGTGTGCGCAATATCTTCTAAACTATTAGTCCAATTTTATTACTGTCAAGGACAATTTTATTCTACATTAAATTCTCCTGATAACAAACGCATCTATTTGGATAAGGATTAATATTGAAACCAATAAAAGAACGCCGCAAATGGCATGCGGTTTTTAATTCATTTTGTAATCAAAAAAGTGGTTATTGTAAGAAAACCGTTAAAGATAGACATATGCTATCGCGGACTTTTCTCTAGAACATTTTGAGATCTACAATTTTTTCATAAATCATTTTTATATACCTCTAACGGTTTAGGCAGCGTAAGCTGAGAAAAGTTAAAGTTTAGTAATTTTTTGACGCCGGCGTCCAGAAACACGCTGTTTATTAATAGTTGCTAAACATTAGTAATAATAAAATATAATCTATGTTACTCACAAATAAATTAACTTTCTGATGGTGAAAATATTTTTAAAATCGGTCTAGTGGTTATTGAGTTACTTCAATACATACAAAAATAAAAAATACAAAGTTTTCCTCTTTATGATATTAGTATAGATAGTATAGATGAAAAATAAATATACATTTCTTCTATTAATTTAAAAAAAAAGAAATTCTAACACTCTTTGGAATAAAAATAACGAAAAAACATAGTTTATTCTAGAAGGTTATGAAATAAAATACTCAATCGTTTCGTACACTCATTTATTTCAAATCAGTTGTAAAAAAAAGAATTTATCATGTTAATAATAACAATGCCAACCGTTAAGCTTACACAGTTGGCAGCACTGATTCCAGTGGAGGAATCATTAGCTAAAGCGGTACACAACAATTTAACGAGGTCTTGTCTTGCTTCATTATGTAGATCGACATCAATAACATCATTAAATGTAATATAAGGTACAAAATTGATCACTCTCATAGGATCAACTGAGACATTTTCTGCTATTCTTTCAAGGTCATTGCTATTTGTAGCATAACAGTTTTCAATATTATTAACATTCAAGCCAACGTTTTCTGCACATTGGTAGCTATTCTGTGAGAATGCTGGATAAGGGCTTGTAAATTCACATGTCATATATTCCAGTTGTGCTTCCTGGTTACCTTCTAGAAGATGTAAAGCGCATCTATGCAGTCGATTTGCCCAGCAGTCGTTAACTCCGAATTGGCAGATTAAGGTGCCATTTTCGTCACGTCTTGTTCTTCCCCAAGGAACGTATTCGATTTTCAAATGTTCGCTATATAATTCATAAGCTGGAACTAATTGTTGATTGATGAAACGCACGGTGTCACTACAACCAGAAGTTGTACCGATGGTTATTTTAATTTTTCCATCTATTATTGAAATGTTACCCAAACAGAATGGTAATAGACACAAGGAAATACCGATAATGATTTTATTCATGGTGTTTATGTACGAAATCCAACGTTAAACTAATTTGAATTTTGAATTACAATTGTAGATATTGTTGAGATAATATTTTTTGATGTCATTTAAATTGCTACATTTATTAGATTAGATTATAGTTTATCAAAATGTCTGGCGTTTGATATATTACTTATTATGTTCTATTAATTGCTATCAATTTCAATTATTGATGGACTTGATTATTCACTGATCCGCAACGAACCCTCGTTTGATCTTACACAAATTACTAACTTGCCTTGAGTATCACGCACGTTGTCTATAAATGTATTTCTAAGAAACGCGAAACGCGTTATTTTGTACTAGCTTTCGCCCGCGACTTTGTCTGCGTGGAATTAAAACAAACAAAAGTGAGTATTCCTATGTATTCTTCCAGTCTTACCTGTACATCCTCAACAATTTTCATCGAAATCCATTCAGCCGTTTAGACTACAAACTCTAACAAACATCCATCCATCTATGCATACATTTAAACTATCGCATTTATAATATCAGTATGATCAAAAATGTATAGTTATTTTAATAAAACATAGGTAGGTATAAATAATAAGTTAGAATTTAAATTGCAGATAAAATTAGTTAGAATTTGATAGTTTTAAAAATGCATGAAACTTGCTAAAGTGAAAAAGAAAACACAACAGAAATCTTATAATTTAATGAAAACTGTTAATAAAATTTGAAACTCTGTATTAATTTTAAAAACAGCCGTTGCTTATAAATAATATTTTATTCACTAGACTTAGACAAATTCCAAAAGAAAAAACAACAAGTAATACCTTTTTACTGACACCCTCTGCTCCCTAAAATGTTTGAAGGTAATCTCTTAAGACTACATAAAAAACACTCAAATTCTTTGAGGTTTATATTTTCTTTGTGCATTTTACAGCGCTGTCGTGCCTTAGTTGAAAAGGATTTAAGTTTAAAAGTAGACAAAATTGGATTTTTATTAATGTTGTTTTAAATTTATTTTACACCTGTTACACAAAAATAAAGTATTTCTTTAATATTAAATTCTCTTGGTAAGTATACTACAAGAGTTGTTTTATTATTATTATTTATTTTATTTAAAGCGAAAGCTGCCATTTACTTGCCCTTGGTTTAAAAATAATTAATTTTATCACAAAAAACACGTTTAAGTTGCTTGCCTTTTATATCATAACTAGCTTCGCCCGCGACTCCGTACGGGGAGAATTAAAAATAAACTAAAGTTTCTATGTATTCTTACAATGTTCTACATCTGTCTCAAATTTTATAGCAACAATCATTTATAGTATGAAGCATGAGTATATAGTATATCTACATTTATTTAAGCAATAAAAAGAAATAAACCGTATACAAGGTTTAATTTTGCTTTCTATTAAAACATAAATAACACCAAGATAAGAGCGGGCAAAATGGCGGTTACATTTTAATCTGAATTTATTGCATAATACAGCAGGTATTCAATTAAGGTTAATGTACTTAAAAATGTAAGACCTCCCCTCCGTGAGACGCGTGGTAGCCGACAACCGCAGTATTAATGAAATTGACTTCCCCAGAGATTGAACCCGGACCCCCGTATCCCGTAAACTTTGCCTGCGCTAAACGATTATACTGTTCAGAGCAAACGTAATAGACTTATCTATGTTTATAGGTATACTATATGTGTATGTGCTTAGTACTGATTATTAACGCCCACAATAAAAGATATTTACGAGTAGTGATAATGGTTTCTGTAAGATTATTTTAAGCAAATTTATTTTGTTCAATGTTTATTTGATAAGGTTACCAGGTAAATGTTTGGAATTCCATCCATACTAATATAATAAAGCTTAAACACACATTATTTCGTGGCGTAAGATGTCAGCAATCACAGCATATTTTTGAATAAACACGCTTTAAGCTATATATTTTCACGATATTAAACTTAGGGGGTGTATAAATTGGAAAAAAATCTTCATGTGGGGAAGTGACCATAAACTACAAGCTGCCAACATTAATGAAGCAAGTTTATTATGGTAACGGTAATTTTGACATATGCTATTGAGAATTTAACAAATGTTAACAATAAAATAAAGTTTTTATTATTTTATGCGGATGAAGCCGCACGAGAGCAGCTAGTAAGTAAATAAGGAAAATGTTATGTAATTATACAATTACTTACAAAGTCAATACTAGTTAATCTATAACATCACTCTATGTTACGTCAAATAACAACAAATATATTCTGTTTTACCATAGAATGAAGAACGTAAAACTCTTTCAAGTGATCTTGATAACAAGATTGACTAAGGAGTCGTAAAATTAATACCTCACTTCAATTGTTGTGTTACGTCTCTAGGTAGCAATTTGTCTATAAATATTTAAGCTTTCTACGAACCCTCCGCCAAAAACAGGATTCAATTTCACGCCCCGAAAAGGGGTCCGTTTCTCACGACTCTCGCTTCCTTCAAATGTCATGAGATAAATGAAAGTGACTGATGTATCTAGACCTCCTCGTATTCAAATCCTTGCTCGTTTTTCGTCACGTTGAAGTATAAATGCAAGAGGTAGGGAAGGTCAGTCTTTTTTGGACGAACCAATAATCAGTCGATTGGAACATTATGCGGTTGCATGCAGAAAGAAAGAGCTCCAAATCAATTTTGATTTAAATTGACGATCGATGTAACAAATTTAATTTGAGCCAAGAAACTTCTTTAACGGTGGCGGCATTTTTAAGTACATTTACATACATTTACAATTTCAACGTGCTATTAATAAATTTTCAAGTGAAATAAATTGAAAAATAAATAATTATCGAATCATAGACTACTCTAAATACACCAGCACTAAGATGCTATTATCTATGCTATATTTTACATAGATTCGATACATTACAATGAATTAATTTGAACATTAGATAAATCTATTGAACGTGAGTCGGCTAACTCACGTAGCGTAATAAATGGCTTCATGAATAGTCTTCGTGTTACTATGAACTATATCGTGAATTGAAGGTAACCACTTTGTAATATTGAAATTTAATACTTCGTAGGGTCGGCGCACCGGGTTTTGGTCCTCCAAATAACTCTATCAGCCGTCATCTCAGTCATCACTCCCTTCTTGATCATGTCACCTTTTACGTAATACATCAATCTCTTTCTAGGTCTACCTCTACCGGTGTATCTCCACACTCATAACTAACGTCCTGCTTGTTACATACGATTTATATTATTGAAAATTAATACGTAATTTAATTTATCATAGGTCATGCAAGAGATCATTACTAGTTTTTCTAGCAAATGTACTGTTTGATATTGGAATTTATTTCCTGAAATCACTGATCTCTGTTCAGAAATAGTGAAGATCATTTAAAATTAATCTGTACACACTCAGTTGTAATATCGTCTATTTTTCCAATATTGTTTTACTTTATGCATTGTTACGCATCCAAATCCAGCTTTGTAAATGAAAAAGTTCCCGAAATTTAAAGTCACATAAGAACCCTGTAATAACTGCAGAACAGCGATAAAAGCAGTAGCTCACTTACACTGGGATATGGACAATTTGAGCTTTACAAAAGACCGCACAAGAGCTCGATTCGGTCTCGCATGATCCCACATCTGAACCCTTAATGGCCGCTCGACTATTAGCTCCGGGCCTCAGCGCAGCCGCCGTGGGCAAACTTCCTATAGCCGACTTAATCTAGGCTCGAGGCGGATTTCAACGGAACTCATTCTTCCCGAATGTACTTAAGGATTGTTATGTCGCCGTATTTCGAAAGGGATAAGGTTAAATTACATTATCTCGAATAATGTAGATAAAACTTCGTTACTATGTTTTAGCTCAGAATTTGACAATTGGGGTTTGAAACTGCGCGGATTCCTTTAACTCGTATGAACTTCATTGTTTAATATCCAATGAAATAATTTTGAAATGCTTGAGTAAGTTATTACCAAAATGAGAAAATATCGAAGGAAATTCGTAGGTTGAAAGGAACTTACCATACTCGTAGATACGTACACATCAAAATATTTCATTTCATATTAATATTAAAATGTAAAGATTCGATGTACTCCCAATTTTAAACAACGGTTACTATTTCGAATCATTGTTCGAACTTCATATTGTCCGATTGTTTTCAGACGTCGACTACGAAGGTTTGGATCCGACTACTACGACTCGATGAAAACCGACCGGGAGTCGTTTAATACTCGAAACAATAGGAAAATCTCGATTGTTCTCCCGAGGACCGACTCAATGATGACTCGATTATAAATTTTTGATCACTACCATTCTTTCGATTGGAACAATATCTCGAAATTCGTAGGTACGGCTTTCGGCCTGTGTGATGTTGGCATTTACTACACTTTTGCGACGGAATCCTCTGATTTAAACACAAGTCTTGTAATAATTAAAATATTTATGGGAATAAAAGTAATAAGATTATTAAAAACCACGTGTCACTTTCTCCTCATATTTAGTAGCACATTCCAAAATATTGTCATAGTTGTGGTTATCAAAGAATTGGTTGCAAATCGATTTGTAAATTAATATTAAAATTACATATATTGACTTAAATTATAGCTAAAACTGCTAAACAGGTCTCGAAAGAATTTGGCTTGGATGTAGATTATAGTCTGGAAGAACACGAAGGGTACTTGCTTTTGTTTGTTTTAATTCCACGTAGAAAGAATCGCGGGCGAAAGCTAGTAAATAATATTTTCTAAACCATTGAAAACGACACAGAGAGATGTAAATGTTCACTGAATAATTACAAACATTAATACAACGTGATAAAGTTTGATTTTGTTTATCCCCCCGTCTGTGGAATTTCAATTAGTAGAATTTTGTTTATGCTGTCAACAACACCGAATGATTACCTCGGCGTAGTGGAAGGGTTGCGTACATCATGCCTTATTAATTACTTCACAAGGAAGATATAAAGCAATTAAATTGATCAAATAGTAACAATATTTGTATTTATATGATCCTGATCAAATAATGTGCCTGTTTGTAATATCAAAACAAAAATTCCAGATTTCGGGAA